TCAGCCCATTTTCATGTTCCAGATCACTTTCAAGATGTCCATGGGGCTATTGGAATGATGAGCTCTCCACTGCTGGCTGCAGGCCCTGGAGATTCTTTCTCCACATTCAGCCAGGCTTGTATTCCCTAACAATTCCTGGTAGCTCATCATGTTTTCTTCGGGTAGAAGAGTAACAATGCAAACCTTACCAATGGCACAACTCCCCAGTCCACAAGGAAAAGCAAGAACAAGTTGTCAAGTTCTTCAAATATTTGTCCTGCTTTGCTGCAAGAGTTGTGCTGCAGTCACAGTGTGGAAAGCCAAGAGAAGCTGCAGCTGGGGGCACATCTTGTGACAGGAGCTGCACCTTGCTCTCCAGGACAGGTTTTTGGAAAGAACACATAGGACTGTGGAGAAGATTCTGAGAAAACTGGAACAGCTTTTTAAAGAAATGAAAAGTGAAGGAAATAATCCAAGATGTTTTTCTCTATTTATTTTTATGCTCCCCTTTTCCATCTTGCACTAGTTCTCTATGCCATTAATTCTAAATGGATCTCACCTCTAAGATCCATGACTTGGCAAGTTTTAGACACTGTAAAATACCATGAGCTACACCCAGTTTTCCTTCCCCCTTTTTCTTGAAAAGCAATGTTGGAGACACAAGTGCAGTGCTTGGGTCAGGTACAAATTCTGCATTCAGGGAATGTGCTCAGACAGTGTTTGACGCTCAGCAGGGACAAGGCACAGCAGCAGCCAAGGGCATTGCTGTGGCCCTGTGCAGGAATCAAGACTCTGGCTCTTGGCTCAACACGGCAAAGTTCCCGTGTTTGGCCAGGCTCAGGGGCTGCCCGGGGAGCGCGGGGCTCGGCGCGGGGCCGAGCGGGCAACGGACAAACGGCCCCGGGGACAAACGGCCCCGGTGCTTCAGTTGCAGCGGCAGCAGCAGCGGCAGCAGCAGCGGCTACAAGACAGAAAGCAGCGAAAGAAGCGACATTATCACCCTTCTCTATCTTCTCCTCTCCCTCTCCCGCTGTTCCACCCTCTCCCCGCGGTCTCTCACCCATTCCCGATCTCCCTTTCTCTGTGTCCCAATCCTCTCCCAGTTTCCCTCTCCCCTTGCCCGCCCGGGACACGCCCCCAGCCCGCCCCTGGCCCCGGCCTCGGCCCCGGCGCCGGC